TGTAAGCAACAGGTCCTATTCGCTCCAGAATGCGGTAGGGTCCAATGAATCTAGGGCTAAGCTTCCCTTTCTTCCCGAACCGTAGGACCTTCTTCCAAGGTGAAACCTTCAAGAATACCATGTCACCAACATTGTACTCTATGTCTCGTCTCTTCAAGTCTGCATAAGATTTCTGTCTGTCCGAAGCAGTGCGGAGTCGGTCTCTGATCACACGAACCTTCTCCTCGGTTTCCTGCACAATATCTGGTCCCTCGAGCTTACGCTCGCTAAGCGCTGTCCAACAAATCGGGGTTCGGCACTTTCTGCCGTAGAGTGCCTCATAAGGAGCCATCTGAATACTCGCCTGGTAACTGTTATTATATGCAAACTCCATCAGCGGCAAGTAACGCTCCCAATCTTCTCCAATGTCGATCACGCAAGCTCGCATCATATCCTCGACAATCTGTATCACCCTCTCGGACTGGCCATCGGTCTGAGGGTGAAATGCCGTACTAAGGTTCAAAGCTGTGCCAAGAGCCTTCTGAAGTCCTCTCCAGAACATCGAAGTGAACCGGGGATCTCTATCGGATATGATTGACAGCGGTACACCGTGCAACCGAACATCGAAGAGTCACGTCTGACGGGTAGAAAATGAGCCTTCTGAAGTCCTCTCCAGAACATCGAAGAGTCACGTCTGACGGGTAGAAAATGAGCCGACTTCGTCAACCTGTCAACAATGACCTAGATGGCGTCATTCTTTCGTGAAGATCGTGGCAATCCTATCACAAAGTCCATAGTGATCCTTTCCCACTTCCATTCCGGAATCGTAGGAGGGTGCAGCAACCCTGTCGGAACCTGGTGCTCAGCCTTGACTTGCTGACAAGTCAAACAACGTGCAGTGAACTCGGAGATTTCCTTTTTCATAGCTGGCCACCAATAGGATTTCTTCAAATCCTGATACATCTTGTTACTACCCGGGTGCATAGTGTAAACGGTTCCGTGAGCCTCGCGTAACAAGCGATCCCTCACTTCACCGCGGGGCACCACTAGGCGTTCACGATAGTACAAGACTCCGTCATCGCGAATTGCAAACTCGGGCCTCTTTCCTGTAGGAACTAACTCT